TGCATTTGCTGCTATTCATTTTTGTGTATTCTGCTTCCTTTGCATACAGAGTGCCTTGATAACTGCTGCTGCTGCAGATAAGGAACCTCAAGAAACGCTGCAGCTCTGTCAAAATGAGCTGTTGCAGCTAACAAAGGCTGTGCGTACAAGGACGCATACCTAGAGCAGCAGAAACATCCGTAGACGTGGGGAGGCTGTTGATGATACGATTTCAGCCACTATGTGCAGCAGCACCTACTAAACTTGAGACGGCCTCTACAATTCCCACGCAATACTGCCAGTGGTTCGTTACTGCAACTAGATTTTTAGGGTTTTACTCGTCGGGAGCAGGGGTTGCCCCAGAGCCGGCGAAGACAAAGACGACCATTCGGATGTGGCCTCGGAAGTCCTGAAGATTCTCGAGTCCCACAACCTGCAACTGTCACATCATCCCTGGTTTTGCCCGCATTGCCGCCCCCTAGCGGACCTACTGAAAACGAAAAATACCTTGTCATAATGCAACCACCAGGAGCTTCATCCGATATCTAACGCCTTTTCCAGCACTTGCGACCCTTACTTCGAAAAGCTCTTCTTTCATAGCAAACGTTACATGTGACACAAGAGTTGAGGCAGTGGTCTCCCAGAATTCCAACAAGTTGGAAAAGCACAAAGTAATCCCCTACTACTCACCGCATTTCACGAAGAGTGTAAAAGCACCCAGTATGTGCACAAGGCCTCCATACGGTCCGAAGGTTAGAGAGAAAATGTCGAGATTATGTATATGACAGGCACCTCATGGTTCAGCTCCAGCCGTTCAGCTCCAGCCGCCAATCCATTTACCTCTGAAGAGCTTTCAAGACCATGGCAATGGAAGGTTTCTTCGGTGGCATTTCCGGCTCAAGCAGCACGTCTTCACATTGACGTATACCAACGTTGTCACTGACGAACGCTGACGAATACTGACCATTCGGCCATTGTGTCCCGCAACTGTTCTTGTGTGCGATGATGTACACTTCCTTTCAAAACGTCATTCTTCCTGTTCCTTAGATGCTCGTTCAGTTGCAGGTACGGCTCAGCTCAACAATGGGCACCGAGTGAAGCACTCAAGCACAGACGGGAATCTACTGGGGTATCAGACGGCGCGTGGATTGTACCAATTATACGCTCCACCGTCACTACCCACAGGGACTGTACGCAGTGTGACTGTCGGGTTCTACATGGAGAGACCACTACAAAAGTGGAACGAGTGGCTACCTCCTTGCTGGCCTAGGATGTGCTTCTCAAGGCAGGACTACATATTACCTTGCCCTGCATGTCAGCAACAAGATCTATGGAACACTCTCAAACTCAAACACTTGCGTAGCCTTCCGATTGTCTAACGGATGTGGGTAGATATACCAATGGACTCTCCAGTGGGTATACCATCTGTTGGAAGCTACGACAGCATTTTGGTCGTAGTTAATAGGCTCAGCGAATATGCCGACTTCCTTCCACGTCCGCATCCGTTTGAACCTCGAGTGGTGGCACATTTTCTCATTAATCATGTCTTGAAGCTTTAATCGTCTTCCGAAAAATATCATCGCCGACAGGGATTCGAAGTTCACTAGCCCCTCCGATTGCCTGCATCCGAGGCAGTTTGCACTGGTCATGCTACGGTCGATGTTATACTGCTTTATGGATTCGTCCAGGAGATGGGCTCACCAACGTACGGTGACTCAGAATTTAGGACTCTGATAGATTCCGAAATTCTCAAAGTGGCTTGATCTCCTTCCTTGCGCGGAATGGGATAACGCAAGTGGTCTGGGTTGAAAGCGACTCCTGACCGACATTCGTCGTAGTTCCCAACCTGGCATTCCCGTGATCTCTTCATGCACTCCATCCTATAGACAACGTCGAAGGGGAACACAATGGCGACACGGAGCGAAGACTGCTCTACCGCGAGCTCGTTTCTTCGGCAGCCAGCAACATACACCCCTGAACATTTGGAACAATTGGATATAATTTGGTAGTGGAACGTTTGAAATATACCTTGCCGTATCGCCGTTGTGTTCCTATTCGAAGTCGTCTTTAGGAGTGCCGCCGTCATCTTTGAACAGGCCTTAGCAATATTCGCTCCACTTAGCCCCTACAAAAAGTCCTTACCATGACCCAATACACCATGCGGCAGCGGCAACTCTAGAAGCTCCATCAGGAGTCAGCGTTGCGGCAGCAGCAGGAGGCAGCAGGAGGTGAAGGTGCTTAGTTCTATGCCAACGATACCAGCTCATGAAGCCGGCGGCCAGAAAATCATCTCAAGACTTGCCAACTATCCCCTGCACCTCCACCCAGCGTCTGTACACTTGAACATGAGGCGACGCAGCTAGCTAGCTGCCTAACTAGTCAACGGGACTCCAGGTCTAACCAGGAAAAGATCCGTTGTTATTACGGATGTTGTCGTGCAGACGAAGGTTAAGATGGACAGACCGGATACTGGGTTATCATGTGTTGTGTACACGTCTGTTCTTTATCTTGCTTGCCCCTTAACGTTTGAAAAATTTTGCGAATTATCGAGGATATGGTGCATTTGTCAGTGCTTCCGTTCCTCCCTGTCTTTCTGTTTCTATATATACTTTTGCCTCCCATCGGCGCGCTGATGCGTACAAGCAACGGTGAACTGTTGTATTTGATTGTGGGGTACTGCTTTTTCTATCTTATGCATCTTCTCTTTGGGACGACAAGCGACGTGGGAGGGTTTACTTACGGAGACAACGGTGACAACACTGTCGCATCGCATGCTGCATTCGTGTTTCTTCCCGAACAAGTTGTTGCTTCTGTTGCGGTCGAAGCAGCTGCTGCAGTGGGCAGGAGCTTCCTGTCTGCAACTCACTGTTGAGATGCAAATAACCCCAGAGCCCATGCTTCCTCATTTTATTTATGTGGCGCGCATTCCCTCAGAATGTGGGCGGTCATCTCCTGCAACCCGCACAGCACCAGCAGGTGCAGCACCTTAGCAGCAGCAACTGCGTTTAGCTGTGCTGCAGCTCTTCTTGTTGTTCCCTATCCACAGCAGCGGTAGAAGCAGAAGCAGCCATCCAGGTACTCTGGCAGCTAAAGCAGTAAAATACGCAAAAAGGGGAGACAGAAACGGGAACAATAAGTGCAGTACCAGCAGCTGCAGCAACCCCAATTACGGTCCCCGCAGGTTCACCTTCCTTGACTTCAAGACTCTCGAGGTGCTGTAGGCTAATCCTCAAGCACTTAAACCTGTATTGCTGGCGTTTCTTCTCTACCATGGGGCTGTAGAATTCAAGTCGTTTATGGAAGCAACTTTGTTTCAGCATCAACAAAGTCCTTCCTCTCGCCAGTTTCCTCCTTTTGTGCTCTGCTCCTTAAACGTTATATGATAATTTTCGTATGCTGTTCGTGCCTCAAATGTTCCAACACAGACATAGGTCCCTTGATAATGCAGCATTAACCCCAAGCCCAAAATCGCAAACATAGATCCCTGACTGGTCTTCGATTTCCAAGACTGCCTGTAGGCCCCAGCTGCCATGGCCCAGGACGCAGCCGGTATACCATGCAGCCCAGCAGCAGCTGCTGCAGAAGCTGCCGCAGTTGGTGCTTCGGCAAACTCTGCTTTAGCTTGCTGCCACTGTATCGCTCCCTTCAAACGGTGTGCCTGTCCCCCCTCCTCTTGTTGCTCCTTCAGCGGCTGCTGTTCACCGCAATATTTGCAAAAACCTCCCTCATGCGCTGTTCCCCGTTGGGTTCCAGAATTCCCCCCGTTTTTAACGCTGCTTCCTCGGTGTATATGCTTCCGTTTGTTTCTTTCAGTGACCCTGTCCCGACTGTAATCTCACCTCATTTGATCTGTACCAGCATTCATCCATATCTGTACCAGGAGCAGCACGAGGAGCTTGCGCTATCTCTGCCGCTTAGGTTTCCAACGTTCCCACCTCTAACAGGCACTGGAGCGTCTCTGTCACTAACCCCAAGGAGGACGATCAGGGACCTTTCGCGGTCTTCCTAAAGTACGTCGATGCCAAAAGGCACCCTGGTCCTTGGTGCGGCCCCAGTAGGCTTCCCAGTAAGAACGGGTTGTTGGTGCACCGCTCACAGTACGGAGGTCGCCATCCATCCCAACGTGCGGTCTGGATACGGTTGGCTCATTGTCAGTTAGACTCCTGGTGAAACTACGCACCACCACCCAGCAAAGTACGCTAGAACAAACAACAACGCCGGCGAACTACCCACACATCGACCTATCACCCTTCTAGTGTCCTCGTGGAAGGGGGTTAAGCGACAGTCTGCACCAGTGGGACCAATGTGCTTACTGTAGAATGAACGAATTCCACAAAAAAGAATCCATATTACTCCAATCACTAGTATGTTTACACCGAAAAATGATGAGAATAAAGAGAATGGCTCATGCCCCAAAATGTTCCCACCGGTTGACCCAACCCGCCCCGTCCCGAAAGGCGTGCAGCGCCGCCTCCGGTTCATTTTACTGCTATCCTTTTAGGCAACATTCCCATTACATGTGCCAGTGTGGATGGTATAGATAAGAGCTTATTCTAAATTATGCTAGCAGATGGACGTCCCCAAACCCAAACCCAAAACAATCGTCGTTTTCCCCGTCTGGCCTGTGCGGTGTTTACAGGCAGTTTTCTCTATTGCCTTTTCGTCTTCCAGGCTCCTCAGGCGGTATCTCTGGATATTCTAAACCGTAAACCCAAACCGCCGACGTAATCCATCCACAAATAATCGGCCAAAATAAGTGAAGGACGACCACCACATCCCACTTGTCGACTTTATACCTGCCTCAGTGCGACACAGTTTAGAAGTCTAAACCCCAAATCCAAAAGCAGACCCTAAACTCTTTCTCTAAACCTTAGAAGCTGAACCCCCCGCAGGGGCCACAAGGAATAAATATGCAGCAAACCTTCGAATTGGTCCGCACGCCGCCTAGGGTAAGCGGCAAGCTGCTGGATGCAAATTGGGGATGCTGCTGTGAGGCATAACGCCTCAAATCAAACGCAAATTCAGGCTTTGGGTGTTCCAAGGAATCGTCTGCGCTTAAATCTCTCCTTTATCTTCTCAAGAGAAGCACCTGCATCAGGCAGGCCGTACAGTTCACTTGCTGCTGTTGCGCCTGCTGTCCTTGTTGCTGTCGTTGCGACAGCGCCCAGCCCCAAAGCGCTAGTTTAGCGTTAAACTGTTCACTATCTACTGCAACAAGGGATGGCGCCGCGGGCCTCCCAAACCTCAAATCTTACCCCCCCACAAACTCCTCTCCGCAAATCCTAAACCCCAGAAAAACCCCCTAAACCCCAGAGACTACAACCTATAGCCAAGACACTACCCTCTAAGCTATAAGCCCCCAACGATAAACTCCCTAAAGCTTGAGCGACATGTACCTTGGTTATCTTCTTGCTGGGAGTCGTCCGCTTCAAGGAAGCACCTTGTCAGTCCCTTCTGAGAATCCACCACGACCCGACGGCTTCTTGCGGTCTCCTGACGAGATAGATACGACTGCAGAAAGGATGCGAGAAGCAGATAAAAAGGGAGGGGTGTAGTCTACGTGCATCTGCTTGCCGGTTCCTAAAGAAGGTGGGGAAGGCACCGTGAACTAGAGCGAAAGCGGCAGAATGGCAATATAGCCGAGGCAAACGGAACAAATACGCGAAGGGGGGAATATAAGAGAGAAGAAGGAGAGGAAAACAAAATACATTGTACAAAGGAACGCAAGAGACATTGAAGACAGGGGAGCGAAGGAGACATTGTGCGATGCGGGAAAAGAGGGAGGCAACTGCCTACCTGTTGCTCAGCTGTCTCTGCCAGCTGGAGAAGTTCGGTTGCTGTGATGGTCGTTTTGCTCTTGATTGGTTCTCTGTTTGTTTGTCTCCCCTTTGAAAACAGCGTCCCAGATCCTGAGAAACATCGAAAACAGGCACATATCTGGAATCTTTCCGTGTTGTGTAGTCTCAGCAGTGCTGCAGTTCATTAATGAATTAATTAATTAATTCATTCATTCATTTAATTCATTCAATTCTCATTCATTCATCCAATTCATTCAATTCTCATTCATTCATTCATTTGATCCATTTGATCCATTTGATCCATTTGATCCATCCATCCATCCATCCATACACATACACATACACTTACACACATACACATATACACATATACACACATACACACATACACATACACATATACGCATATACACATATACACATATACACATATACACATATACACATATACACACATACATACACACATACACACATACATACACACATACACACATACACACACACATACACACATACACACACACACACACATACACACACACACATACACACACGGAGAGAGAGAAGGGAGCACAACAGCAACAGCAATAGCAGCACCAACTTACCGAGGCCTGCGGGCATGGCGACTTGCAGTCGCTTGTATGATGTCAGTACACTACACATGGCTCCCCGCATCTGCGGAGACACGCCTCAACTCACACATATGAGCTAGGTAGCCAGTTAGCAAGCCTCATGCAACCACGTAGCTTCAGCTGGAAAGCACATTGCGGATGACTATCGACGGGCCTGCGGTCAGCTTGCAAACCACCTCCGCAAATAGCTACAAGTGAAGTAGAATACTTGGTAGACGCTAAACCCTGGACCCCAAAACGTCAACCTCAAGCTATCAAACCCAATGGAAAACTGAATCACACACCCCTTTTGACTCGAAGATGTAAGAGACATCGTTCTTGATCTGCGAAGCAAAAACGAACCCATGACAACCAAGTATATAAATCGGCCACTTACAGCCTAAACCGTAAACGGTATATCCCAAACCGTAGACCCCAGCCCCCCAATCCTAATGCAAGCCTTTGTCCGTAATCCCAATCTGAAGCTCTATACACATTATACGCATGTTAAACCCTAAATAACAACCCTTAAACCCCTAACCCTGACGTTGCATTCAAAGCCTTTGTCGTCCACGAAGAGGCAGTAGGAGTCGTCGCTAAACTGCACCAGCTGGCAGTTGCTCCCATACTGCAGCACCGCACACAGTAGACCATCAACCTCAAACCCTAATCCTTATTCCCTAACGTCTAAGAGATTCTAGAGCCCTTTTCAACCCTAATCGCAGCCCTAAACCCTCACTGCTGGCTTTCCTGCAGCTGCTGCATCTTTGTCGTAGGCGAACCTGTATGGACGCAGTGGCAGCGCACACCTTAAATCCTTAATCCCTAACCCTAAACACTACCACAAGAACTCATGGTCAACCCCCCAACCCTAAACCCAGACTCTATGACCAAACACAAAGCTTCCCTCCAGTCGCGCCAGGTGCACGTCTCACTTGATAGCAAAGCCTTGCTGCTGCAGCTTCTGATCAGCTGCAGTGATGAGGGAGAGCACAGGCGGGACTCTCCACGTCAATATAGAGCTGCCATTAGCAAACTTCGGAGCCTTTGTACTTTCGAGCTCCAGGTGCTGCAGTGGCAGGTCTTCAGTTGCCTTTTTTGCTCGATCCTCCAACACAAACTTCCCCATCTGCTCACCACCATCTGCAACAGCGTCGTCTGCCAACCCCATCTCTGAGTCCCCTGCTGCTGCTGCTGCTGTTGCTCCTGCGGCAGCTGTTGCTGAGGTTCCTGTTGCCTCTGCTGCTGCTATCTCTGCAGCAGAGGCAACTGGAGACAAGTCATCTCCGAACAAATCCTCATCACTCGCCAAAGAGGCGTCGGCACTCGCGTCGTCGCCCGAACCAAATAGATCTGGCCCTCCTGGCACAGATGCTTTTACCCCTACTGTCGCTCCTTCTTCGGGTGCTGCTGCTGCTGCTGCGGCTGTTGATGTGTCCCCCGGTTCTGCTGGCCTCCCGGTTGCTTCTGAGAATTGCTTGGCTGACGGAAGATCTCCCAAAACGTCAGCTAGTGCTGCTGCTGCGGCTACTGAAGTCGTTTCTGTCTCTATCGCTGATGCCCTTGTTGCTGCCATTGCTGCCCCTCTTGTAGCCGGCACTTGATCTGCTGCTGCCGCATCGCCAAGAGCAGAAGCTCCTGCTCCAGCAACAGCGGTGGAGTATCGGTCAACTTCTGCATCCAAAGGCTTCATTTTGCCGTTGTACTTCGCTCATGCAGATAGACAAATCGAATTACGCCCTTGTCACCAGACCCTAAACACCCGGCCAAAAGCGCACAGGATAAGGCATACACCCCAAGCCACAACCCAAGATTCGGGGGAATCGGTGGGAATAAAAGAAGGCGTAAAACACGGCAAAACAGCAGCTGTAAGGGCCTTCCATGAAACACTGGGGTTCAGAGGTCTTTGGCTTGCGTGTAGTGTTTTCAAAGCGTTTGGGGCTTAGTATGCAGGGCCCCTGTAGTGCACAGGCACTACAATGTGGCTCTGGTGTGACCATAAAGAGAATGATTATGACGTTAGCACCTAAGAAAGGTAGTTAATACTGCTAAATGTTCTAAGAATCGAGAACCGTAAGTGGATCCGTAGGTTAGTAGGACTACCCCCGCCAGCGGCCACTATCGTCAGTGCAGCGCACTACCTAGTCACTACTTGGGTACCAGGTAGGCACCTTTAGAGATCAAATAAGATAGGACATAGAATTATTACTATATAGGAGTATTATGTATATAAATACGACTCTGGGAGACGGCAGTTATATGTCAGGCTCCTGACCGTCTCGTCTCTGTTGATACCACGTCATCCTATAGGTTGAGCACTGCCCGGTCAAGACCGGGGTCGATTCAGAACACAGTTCTATTATTCCTGGGAGCTTCCCTTGTATACAATAGACACTCGAATATGTTTTGTAATTTTAAGTATTGACCTCGGAGAAATGGGGTAGTTATAGGATGTATTTAGGAAGCCAGGTGCTATGAGACGGTAAGTAGGCACAGCTTAGGACGGTTGCGCACTACAGCTCCACCCGAGGAATTCCAGCTTGGAGGGTGCTTAGAAGAATTTATTTTAGGGTTTATGACATACGGCCTAGTGTTTAGTACCCAGCGGGAGCCTTTTTACTCAGTTCCTGATAAATGGCTCAGATATAGCTTACTTGCCCGCTGATCATCACGCTTTAGTGTTGATGGTTTAGCACCAGAGGCTGTGAATAAGTTTGTCTTTTGCTTCATTTCAAAATAAGGGATTGGAACTGCAATGAGCGGAGATGCTCACTGGAAACTAAAGCAGTTCGTTGCCGTTATTGAACTTCTTATGCTTTGCAGTGCGTAAGAGTCTGAATAAAAACTGTATGCCGGCACGCAGCCCTTACTTGGGCCTAGCAGGCAACATACGTGCAAGTTTGCCGCCTGCATGCAAGCAAACACCCTCAATAATTGTCTACTTTGTACGGTCACACAGGACGGCCTTTCGTGAATGCGTGCATAGTGCTGCATACTTTGTCCGTAGTTGGCTTATGAGCACTTAAGTGTAGCAACTTTCAACCAAGTAGGAAGCATCCAAGCAAAAAGAGGTCTTCCTTACACTTTTATTGCGTACAACGGATGATGACTGGTTGTGCTTGCATGAGTGGAGTGTCTTGCTGCATCTGCTGCGTCAAGATTCATTCGCAACTCTCGACAGGGCGTTTCCTGCCCTGCTGGTCTAGGCGCCTGAGCCAATGCTGTCAGGACACCTGGAGACTCTGAAGGGAGGTCAGCGACTTTTACAGAACTCTTATTTGCAACTGCCATTATGTGAGCTGGATGTCCTACGTTACAGTTGATGGCACCTCATGGTACACTGGGGCAGGTGCACCCTTACTCCACAGCGTGCAGGCCTCCTGCACAGCTGAGAGTGTTCCCTGAGAGTTTTCAAGAGGTATTCATATTCTCCAACCCTAGCAAAATCGTGGAATCTTAGCCCTTCACTTCTCCTGCACAACCGAAACTGATGAAAACCTGCCACGTTGTGGGGGTGAAACCAACCTTTCGGATCCTCATCGAGTGGTGTCTAACGCAATTTTTGCATTTCTTACGATGGGACCTGCTCTTATAGCACAACCATAAGAATGCGTCAGCCCTTGCCGACCATACAGATGTGACGGCCGCCCTGATTCGGGGGAAAGGGAGGAGTTACCTGCCTCTCTAGAGCGTTTTTTCGTTTCCACAGATACTGGTATCTCCAATATTAAAAGAGGAGGCACGACAATGGTGTTAGTGTCTAAGTAAGGGCATTATACTCTATTCCCTGAATACACCCACACTATGGAGGCCTCCCAGCATGCACTGCGATGTAGGTTCATTCCTATGCTGGCAAGGAGACTATGTTTGACAGATTTAAGGAGGCGTATGCAAAGCGGCAATCGATAGAGTGCTATGTCGAGAAGAATAAGCCACCGGAGGACAGATTTCCAACGATATAATCCGAACTCGGGAAAGGCAATTGGTAACCCGATGTGCAGCGGGGAGGGAACAAAGAGGTGGAAACGTTGACCCTGCAGGGATGATGAAGTAAGCAGAAGAAAAACGGAGCTTCTGTCTCCCAGGCAGAGAAGGAAGGGAGCAGGCTTGGAAACAACCGTAGGCAGCGATAGCTTCTCCTCTCGTACGTTTTGGAACGTCACGAACGTCACCAACTACTGGACAGTGAAGGGAATGACAAGCTGCACTGTTTACGCTCTCCTTCGCATTTGTTGCCAACAAGTCAAGGACTGCCTGCACGTGCTCGCGAGGAATGGCTTCGAGCAGGCAACCATGGCTTCACTCCAGCGACCCTCCGGTAGCCACTCAGCTTGCCGTCCTCCTAGTCGTTTAACGTAATATTCTCGCGTTCTATGGCCCCTAATGTTTATGGTCTCCTCCATTCGTAGCTTCGATCTGTTTCGGTAATTACCTAAACCATTTTGGAGAACCAGTATTGATCAGAGGATGGCATATTCATGTTGATGGTACGTTGTCGACGTAGGCCAACGCAGTGGCCCAAGATATAACGGCGGAATGCTTTACCCAGCTGCTGCTCTACCTCTTCGTTTCAGAGGTCGTGAAAGTCCATTAAAACTAAACAGCTTGAGTTGAAATAGACTACTATGATTTTGTTTATTATTTGTAAGATTTCTGCTGTCCCTGTTCATAAATATGTACATAGTTATGTTTACTTTTCTTTAGATAGTATTAATTGAAGGTATTCCTGTGTGCTAAAATATATCTATCAGTGGAAGTATGCCTACGTGGATTCGTTTGAAGTTGATATATTCCCTGGCGTTCTTCGGATGCTGTGTAATTCCGTTGTTTAGTCTGTCTATAATGAATTCTTTGCTCCTCCATTTGCTCGTATTAGTTTAAATATCTGCTCTACGGCAGCAGAAGTGGAAATATTGGTTTATATTTGTGAAACTGCAATCTTTTAGGTGTACTCGGATTTTTTTTCCGAGTGTTATTTTCGGTATATTACATATAGGCAGAATGAGAATTATAGTTTTGTTTTAATTTAACTTCATGTACTACTCGTGTTGTTCAATACGTCTTATTTGTATTAATATAACAGGTTTATCTGTCTAGCATTTCTTATGCAGGCGGAAGATGTCAAATAATCTATATACAAACTGCCAAGTTAATTAATTAATTGCAAGTTATTGAATTAGTCGCAGTTGAATGAATACTCTTAAGAAAAGAACAAAATCACCATTAAAATAAAGAGACTAAAAGGAGTTTAAATAATCTGTAGTATTTAATGCGCGGCCCAGTAACACAACCAGGCACATTCTTGTCTTCACTCCCGCAGCATTCCCTGCAAGGAAGAAAAGAACAAACTAAATTTATTTTTAATGAATCGTCCAAAGATGCAGATGTGTATGTAAAACAGGGATGCTCGAGAATCACAAGTGAAAGAATTCACGGTTGTACTTTAAGCCCATTCCACAAAAGGGAGGAAACCAGGATACCTTGAAGAATTCGGTTGGGTCTACAGCCGCATATACTGAGCCAGCGTGTTGTTGGTGCTCTCAGATTGAGGGTGGGACTCCGGATGTTTTGCCCCGGCCAAGCTGTGGTTGATGTTAAACTGTTTTGTAAATCTACCTCAGAACGGGATAATGAACTTCGCTGACAGCGGCGCATTTGTTTTTGGAAAACGAGGCTTCGACATGATTAATAAATTCTCACAGCACTCGGAACCAAGCATGAAGACAGGATTCAATGGGCGTGTTTGCTAGTTAATTTAGACCTAAACGCTACTGTAGCTTCTGACCGACGGTTATATCCATTGACCTCCCCCCTCACATATATTCGGGAACCGGAAGGCTCTGCAAGAGCCTAAGCTTGCGAGTACTCCGGGACTCTTTTTTTGCTGGCATTGCGAGGAAGTCAGAACGTATTCCTCCGCTGGGCGGCGCACCCTAGGCCAGCAAGGACCTAGCCAATCGTTCCACTTCTGTAGTGGCCTTTCCATGTAGAACTCGACAGCGCATATTGCGTACATATTCTGTGAGCAGTGAAGGTGGAGCGTATGACGCGCCATCTGGCACCACAATAGATCCCAGCCGATGCTCGAGTGCCTCACCCATTACAAGTCAGAATAAAAAACCGAGCAATAAGAAGAAGTAATACTAAATTGAACAAAGCCCAACCACCTGCTAGTGCGTTTGGATACAATCCAGTGTTGGGGAGGGAAAAGGGGTGGTAATGACGCATGTGGGACTATTTCAATGTGTGGGAATCACCGCCACCTTGAAAGTATCCAGCAGCTTGGCCCTGTTCTGAGGGTCACTTGGTGCATTGCTGCTAGAGAATGGTGAGACAGTGGGCAACCGAGCAGTGCCAACTACCTTTCCACGCGCTTAGTGCTTCCTTACAGAAGTGGATGCACAAGGACAAAGCAGCGCGATGCTACTACTTGCCGCGGAGGAGCTGCTCGAGATGACGGAGCAATCCATACACTCTATATACTTGGTCACATTAGTTTACCGATGAGAACGGTTCCGCCCGACCCAGCTCAGTAAAAGGGTGACAAAAAGCAAGGGTGGGCACAGCTGGGGTACAGCTGAAGCAGTACTTCTCAAATAAATTAAGTAACGAAGCGCTACTCGGGCCGGCCACCCAATGGTATTGATAATATTAGGTGAGCAAAGTAGCTTGTGCTACAGAAGCCACGCAACTGCACCCTTGTGCGGCGCACAGCATCCACCAAACGGTGAACAACGGAAAATAGTTGCTAAGGAATGCCTTGTATCTTTAATCGATACTGAACCAAGAGCCCCCTAGATTGTGCGATCCAATTCAAGTGCTGCGACGAAGTCCCCCACACGTCCCCTGCTACTCAAAAGTTGGTTCAATATCAGTTAAAGATACAAGGCATTCCTTAGCAACTATTTTTCTGTGCATGCTGAGGTATTCACAGAAAAACAGCTAGATAAGCAACAACACAGCCCTGCCCCATTCAAAATGTGTTCGGTGTAGCTGGCGAGGTCAGCTACCTTGCCAGCTAAATGAGCCGCTTAGCTTCCAAGCATGCAGCAGCTCGCTCGATGGCGGGGAGGTGGCTTGCTGGTGGGCCTTCTCCTGGCCATCTAGCTAGTTGCAACGCTCAGTTGTTGTTTTCTGGGGGAGTACCAGCAGCTGTATGGATGTGTTGCTCCTGCCGTTCTTGTAGTTGCTGGTTCGGCTGCTCTGCATCTCCCTCGTGCTCCTGCTGCCGCTGCTTCTCCTGCTGCCTAAGCAAGGTGCGTAGTTTGCCTATGACATAAGGCGACGTTGCAGCTCTTCCTAGAACCCATCCAACATTCAAAAGGGCCCCCCAAATAAAGAGGCCGATGACGAAGGTCGTACAGAAGACGAGAGATGACTGCTGAAGGGTCCTGTCGTATGCTTCGTCGACTGTCAGGCGAACGTTCTCCGCTTCAAACGCTTCGTGCTGCTGCAGTTGCATGCGCGGCAACACGACAAACTCGTGCGCCAGCACCAGCAGCAGCGGCAGCAGCAGCAGCAAGCCGCCGGCGCGCTTCAAGGAAGAGACCAGCTGTTTCTTCTGCTGCTTCTGCAGAGCCTCAGGCGCCTGCATCTCCTCTCCACCACCAACATCATAACTACCAACATGTCCGGTGTTGTGCTCGGGTGTCCTGCTGGGGAAAAGGCTGTAAGAGTCTCCTGCAGCAGCGCCTGTACTATCGCTTCTCAACGTGACTGTCTCCTCCTGAAGCGCCGTCACTGTGTCTTGAGCCGCCCCCAAATATGGATCAGATAAGGCCTTTGCCCCTGCAGCAAAATGCAGCAGCACTACCAGCGGCAGCGATACCATTGTAGCTCTTTTCCGCGGTCCTCTCCCGCGTGTTTGAGGAGACACTAACTGGCAATACAGCCGTATTGACATGAAAATGACGACTTTAAATAGTCCGGTTCACTGCTCCCGCTTGGATACTGAAAAAGAAATAGTAGGGCAGATCTAGCAGGCAGGCAGCTGCGGGTCGTCGGCGCAGCATTAAGAAAAGCATTTATACAAACGGCAAAGCCTTGAATGTGTTGCCTAATTAAATGACAACGAGAAACCAAAACTACAAAAACTAATGGCGACGACAACAAACATAAGCCACACCGTCCAGAAGCAAGGATCGAGTTACGCAGAAGCAGTAAGGGAGATCGATGGCTGCTCGATGTTGAGAGTCAGTGCCGGCAATGCCACGGGGGCTGCTGCTGCAGTTCGTTTACGGCATGTGGGCTTGTTACATTTAATTAGTTTAAATAGTAAGGTTTATATTTCACTGTTTAGGGTTTACGGTTTACGCCGATAGCTTTGGGCACTAGGGCCCCGATTTGTCCTTCCCGTTGGGGAGGTTTGCCGACAGTGCATCACAGTTTATTCATATTCCTACTAATACAGTAGATACTATAAAGGGGTTTTCATGGTTTAAAGGGGGCATTTGAAGACTTCCGTGTGCTCGTTCACGTCTGTGTGGAAATAGCTTCCTACGGGGGCGCACTGCATCGAACCTTTTGTGTGGACCCCCTTTTCGACGCCTTTGTTGTGTTGTTCTTGTGTGTGTGTGTGTTGTGCACACTACAGTGTGTGCTTATGCTTTATACTGGGGGCGTCGTGTGCAACAAGAGACTCAGATGGCAGTTCACGCACATACATCCCAGTGCAAACTCCAAAATATACGACCTTCTGTGGCTTAACTTTAGCTCTCGAATTTTTGATATCCAGCTATAAATTGCACTCAGCATCTCATTTGTACAGCCTGCGAATGAAAAGGGGGGAGAAGGCTGCGTTGAGGAACTCTGCGTCCAAGTTTTTCGATTGCGCTGCAGCTCAAGGGGCCGTCCGCTTCAGGTTAACACTCACCTCACAGGTATTTCACTTGTGACAACTTTCGGCCCTCAATGACTAAAATTTTATTTAGGGTCCCAAATCTGTCTGTAGGGGCACCTTAGCTCGTTGGTTGTGGGTTGCGGAGTTATTTCTGCGGGCCCCTGGTCACTGTTGGGGGCACCGAATTGTCCGCAGGTATTTATGTGTCACTTTTCGTTTCCGACATCATCTCATCAGCCGCAGACTTCGGCTAGAAGGTACGGCAGTAGCTCATCAACAGCGCACCTTTTGGCCGAAAGGAGAACCCCCGAACTACCTATTCTGAAAGCAGCAGACACAATGAGCTGCGGCTTTTCAAGCTCCAGAGCGAAACAATTCGCCAGACGTGAAGAGCCGCTCGTTTCCTTGAGAGGGAACGTGAGCTGAGTGTGAGGCAGCTGGTGCTCAAGAATCAACTGCTGTCTACGCTGAAAGTAAAACCCAACAGGTATATATATATATATATATATATATATATATATATATA